AAAAATGTGTATTAGAATGGCCTTTTTTCGGCACCGCCTCGGAACTCGATTTTCCGGCGCCGGCCGGAACCGGCTCCGGACCCGGCCCGGGCGCCCGCCCGGGCGCCCTTGGGGCACTATTGTGGCTTCCTTGGGGAGTCTTGGAGGCCTCTTGGGGGCTTCCTTGGGCCTCTTGGGGCCTTTGGAGGCTCCTTCTGAGGTTTTTTGGCCGCCTGAGGGCGTTCCTGGCCCGTTTGACGCCGTCTTGCGGGCCTCTCTGGGCCGACTCGGGGCCCTCTTGGAGCGCCTCATGGACGTTTTGGAAACCATCTCGGGCGTCTTGGGTAGCTGTAGGCGAGATTGTGCTGGCAATTGGCTCCGCTCCGCGTCCATAAGTTTTCGACACAAAGGGTTCTGGCCGATGCAATCGCTTTCTCCGTACCTCGCCCAGGCCGCGGGATACGCTGTCGGATACTGGAGCGCTTGAGGGCAGCGGTGCATCTGCTCGTGTGAGTGCGAGGTCTCGGGCGGGATCGACCGTGACATCATCGCAGTGCTGCAACGTCAGTTGGATCGCTGTGGGCCTGACCAGTTGACAGCTGCCGCCCCGAGCCCGTGCATTTGTGCGCCGACACCTGTGCTGGCACCTGCGGCGGCGGGTTTCGCCGCTGGTCTGATCACGGGGGTGTTCCTCTGCTTCGTGTACTACATGAGCTTCTGTCGCCTGCAGTATGGCGGCCTCACACCCACCAGCCTGTCGTTGGCTGCGATCGATGACGCCAGGGTCGCTCCGGTACGTGCTCTACAGCCGGGAGGGAGCGCCCTGGCACGAGAGGCTTCTTTGCGGTCGCGTTCGTCTGGACGCGTGGTCTTGGGCGGTCCAGACTCCGACTCGGGACCAGCATGAGGACCTCAGCGAGGCGTTGGAGATCCTGAGCTGCGGCCCCAAGGGCGGGACGCCGCTCACTCTGTACGGGAAGGAGCTGTACACGCTGGGGCACCGCCACACGAACCACTACCTGGAGTACCTGGAGTCAGGGGCGAAGTTCACGGACGAGCTGGTGGCCGCCAGAGGGGCGGGTGAAGCCCCCGTGGACGACCAGCAGGTCGCACCCGTCACCGAAGCCGAGCCCGTCGTCGAGTGCCACCCGGAGACGCATTGGGTGACTCTGGAGGCTCGACACGGCTACAAGCAGTGCGATCCCATCTCCATACAGGGGTTGCCGCTGCTGCGCTCTGGCGACCGCGGGGTTGTGAACCTGCCCAGCGGACCCATCGCTGTGGGTATCGCAGGCTCGACAGGAGGCACGGCTACGCCTCGTGCCGAGCCCTTGGATGGACGACTGCCGGGTGGGACGGCGGATGGCGACTTTGCACGTGCCCTTTTTGCCGATCGCTCCCACCGGCTGGCGGCACCTAGCGACATCAGTTGGCGGGTGCAGGGCCCACAGACTACGATGTGGGTAGTGCAGACTCACGCCGAGACCAGCACGACACCGAGGCAACGGCACTTCTGGTGGCGACAGGTCGTGGGTCTCGTGTCGACTGACCCTGGAGTTGAGGAGCACTGCTGCTGGTGTGAGCTGATGGAAGTGGCGATCACCAGCGACGGCCTCAACATCGCGGCGCGGGAGGCGTTCGAGATTGTCGGCGCTTCCAGCTCGGGGAAGAGTTCTATGCGGAGGCGCAGAGGCTCGCAGAGGCAGGAGACGACGGTGACGATCTCGGCAAGAGGTGGATCCTCTTGGGAAGCCACAGGAGCAAAGGCTTGGCCATCGTCTCACCCCAGCTCGAGCAGTACGTGGCTTCCAATCTCTAAGTGGAGAGTGCAGTGCTCAAAGAACGCCGTAAAGGCCGCGAGGAACGACGCCTCGCTTTCGGTGACCCTGCGAGCCCCACTACATCTTCAGCTCCTGGGGCGGGGCCTCCGGGCGCCGACGGAGCTCGCTCAGGAGGTTCTGGTCAGCCCTCAAGACGTGGGAGAGGGCGCGGCCGCGGGCGGGCCTAGCGCCTGTTCCTTTTCTTCACCCGGCTGCCTGCCGTCGCCCCCGGGCGGTGGGCTTTTCCCACAGGGGAGGCGCGTGCGTGGCGGTCTGTGCGCGCTTGGCGACTGTCGGAGCCATGGGGGTTCAGCGTGACATCCTCCCGCTGCCGCTGGGCCCCGGGCTAGCTGCTGAGCTGCGTGGCGAGGCGGTTCCTCCTGATCGCCCTCGCCGTCGCCGCCAGGGGCAGCGTCTTGCGCAGGAGAGGTCGTTGCGTGAGGGGATTGCGGCCTTGAGCGAGTTGGGCGGTCGAGGCGAAATTGCTGATGCTCGCCGTCGGATTTCACTGCAGCAACAGCTTGCGGTTCGCCACCTTGCTCGGGCCTATGGCGGCGTTGGGCCCCCACCATCAGACTTCGACGCCCAGGGAGCGTTTAGGGCGCTTCAGGGTTCGAGGGGCGGTTATGCTGACACGCTGACCGATGGCAAGATTGCTTCTTACAGACGGGGCGACGTGTCGCTCCCGCGGGTTAGAGCTGGTGGTGTGCCCTTGCTGGACTGCCTCAGCCCCGACCTGCAGTCAGTTTTGAAAAGTGGCCAGGGCCTTCTTCGCGAAGATCATGACCGCGATAATGCTCTTCTGGGCTCTCCCTTGCGGCCTGCCATGGGCGCCAACCTGAGCAAGGGCGGCGCCGACTACGGTCATTTCCTGGGGGAGCTGTTCGAACTCGGGGCAATCGGGGTCTGCAGCAGCCCTCGCGAAGTGCGCGGGCTCTTCTTCGCGCCGAAGAAGGGCGGGCGCCTGCGACTCATATCGGGCGCGTGGCGGTCCAATGCCCACTTCCTGCCGCCCCGTCACGGTTCTGCCCTCGGGCGAGGCCCTGGCAGCGCTGGAGGTGAACGCCAGCGTGGCAGGCGAGAGGATCGTCGCCCCCAGCGCTGACGTGGAGGTCTGCTTCTACCAGTAAGAGTTGCCAGTTGCCAGAGACCTTGCGGCTTTTTTTTTGCGCTGAAGGCGATCGACGTGAAGTACTTGCCCGGGGCGGCCCGTCAGCGCGTGGAGCACTTGGCGTTGGACGGTCAGTTGCAGTTTCAATCGCGCGTGGTGCCGATGGGATGGGCCTGGTCCGTGCGCCTCATACAACATGCACACCTGAATTTACTGAAGTCAGTGCGGTCCCTGGATGATTGAGTTCTGGACAAGGTGCCGACCGAGCCGCTCAGTCACGGGAACCTGGCAACTATTCTTTACATCGACAACTTTGCCACGGTGGGGCCCGCTAGCGCGCGCCCTGAGCTCGCCGCCGCGGACATGATGGACTCCTTGACGGAGGCGGGCGCGCGCGCTGAGCTGGGCCCGGAGTCGGACACCTTCGGCATGCACGACCTTCTGGGCTTCTCTCTCATAGAGCACCGCGCCACATGGACGTTGAGCGCGCGGAAGTTCTGGAAGGTCAAGGGCGCCTTGGACTTCATGATCGTGCCAAGCAGGGGTTCGCGGGCTTGGAGATGGAGCGTCTCCTCGGGCATCTGGTCAGCTGCTTTATGCTACGGCGCGAGATGCTGGCGCTGTTGCACGCAGCGTACACCTTTGCCCAGGAGACAAATGGCCGCCGCGTTCCACTTTGGCCCTCAGTGCGCAAGGAGCTGAAGTGGTGTCGTGCTCTTCTCCCTCTTGTCACAGCCGACATGTCCAGGGCCTGGTTCAGCAAGACAACGGCTTACGACGCCATCCCATGGGGCTACGGGGCGTGCGAGATCTCAGTTTCTCCAGCCATTGTGGGCCAGATCGGGCGACTCAATGATCGTGCCATGTGGAAGGGACTGTCTGCTACAAATCGTCGGCCAAGAGACGACCTCTTTGACCATGGCGCCGGTGACTACGACTTCAAGATCCCCTGCGATCGCGATGCCATCTTGTCGGCGGGTGTCGAGGCAGGTTTCTCCGAGGTGGACCCAAATCTTCTGAGAGAGGCGTCGTGGTGCACGGTCGCCGCTAGGCCGTTTGCTGCGCGCCAGCCGATCCACCTGTTGGAGGGGGCCTCGCTGTTACACGGGGTGCGTCGCGCCGCCAGAAACATCAAGTGTCATTCACATCGTCTCGTCTTCCTGGGTGATAACATGAGTCTCATTTGTGCTATGTGCAAGGGCAGAGCTACGGACTTCTTTCTGAACTCGATCTGTCGCGAGATCCTGGCGATCAGTTTGGTGGCCGATTTTTCAAGCTTGCTCATCGGTGGATCCCGTCTGAACGAAATGCGGCTGATAAGCCTTCTCGTCGATACATGCCCAAGCGGGGTGACATGTCGGGAGCGTTTCCGCAGCCATCTGATCGCCAAGATGGGTCGAGGGACCATAACACATCGCCCCAGTGGAATACGAGCGGGGCGCAACATCCCAGTACGTTCGGGACAGGCTGCTCGCCAGTGGACCTCGTCCGCGATGCGGGGTCGCGCTGGAGGGCCTGCGGACGCGACAGCCGCCGCCCCGCGGCGGCGCGGTGCGCGCCACGCCTCGCAGCTCGCGGGCGCCTCGGGCCGCCGCCAGGACTTGGGCCACCCCGCGCGGCAGCACAACGTGTAGTTGGTGCGGCTGCGCGGCCGCCTGGTCCCGCGACTTACATCCCTGGCAGCCAATCGCATCAGAGAGAACACGCAGTTGGCCCACCTGGGGATCTTCGAGCAACTGGTGGCGTTCCTGCAGCATCAGACCCTGCCGCAGTTGTCGGCCGCTGCCTGGGGCCCGATCTCGGTGGATTTCATCGAGAGGCGCTTCGACCAACAGGAGTCGAGGGAATCCACCATACGGGTGCTGTACGCGCTGCTGCGGACCTCGCCGCACCTGGGAGGAGCGGCCCGCCTGCTGTTCCCACGGGCCTCTGCCGCGGGGCTGGGCTGGGCCAGATTCAGCCCTCCAGCATCGAGGCCGCCGCTCCCCAGACAGGCCGCCTACGCCATGGCGAGCATGCTGCTGGACTACGGCCAGGAGAGAGCCGTGCTCGGGTGCTAGGTCACGTTCGAGACTTATTGCCGCGTCGGCATGCTGATGTCGCTGCGTATGTTCCAGATCGTAGAGCCCGGCCCGCGATCGCCAGGTGCGGCGGGCTGCGCCACCGTGGCGCTCAACGCCGCAGAGCTGCAGGTGCTTTCGAAGACGGGAGAGCTGGACAACAGCAGTGCCTTCGACCTGCAGGAGCAGCGTTGGGTCGGCATGCTCTTGGTCACGCTCAAGAGAGCGTGCGAAGACCAATCCATGGAACGCGGGGTCAACATCTCGTACAATGTCTTGCTCGTTGCTCGAACAGGTGGCGTCCGAGCGGGGGATCGGCATCTTGCAGCCCACTCCGCGCTGCTGGAGGCATGGAGAGGCCAGCCACGGCATGTGGAGAGTGCACAGCAGCGTGGCAATGTACAACAAGCACGGCAGGGTGGGCCTTCAGTTGCAACGGCTCCCCACATCAGCTCGCGAAGCTCTCAAGAATCGTGCGTGTCGCGCGGGGCGCACCTTCAGAGTGCTCTTCAGCAAGCTCTTCGACCCTCCCGCCAGTTCCGCCTCTTCCTCGAGCTGCTCGCCGGCACGGGTGCCTTGGCAGCCGCTATGAAGAAGAAAGGGGTACCGGTACTCGCCTTCGATGTCAGCCAAGGCCCTCACATGGACCTGCTGAACGACGATGTGTACTCTCGCCTCAGAGGTTGAATCTCAAGCGGAGTTGTGCTGGGCCTGTGGTCAGGGACGCCATGCGGAGGCATGTCTCGAGCTCGTCGAGGGCCGCCAGGTTCTCGCCTGCCACATGCCCTCCGCAGTTCTGAGCATCCTGAAGGGTTGCCACATCTTGAAGTTAAGGATCCGGCCAAACTTTTAGAGTCCAATCGTCTCGCACAGAGGGCTCTGGCACTGTTGCAGTTGGCAGCGCAGCGCAACATTCCTGGTGGTGAGGAAAATCCTGCATCTAGCTTTTTGAGGCTGTTGCGATATCGGCAAAAGTTTGCAGAACGATTCAAGACCGTTGACTGTGTAGTAGATTATTGTGCCTGCGGACGGCCCTGTCGGGCCCGAACACGTTTGCGCACTTCTAACATGCACGTTTCCGACCAATTGTTTCGCCTTCGTTGCCGAGGTCGCAACATCTGTGACTTCACAGGTAAGCCTCATGAGAATTTGTCTGGCACGATGAAAGGAGGATGATTCTTCACCAGTGCCAAAGCCGCCTACCTGTCTCGTCTCGCTTCTTTGCTTGCCGATGACATTTTCCGTGCTTGCGCTGTGCGTAAAATTTCTCGCCAGTGGAACTTGTTAAAATGATTCCTTTTCGTCTTGAATTTGTACTTCGGTAAACCAATCTCAGTGCTGCATGTGGGTGTCTGTGTGTGGGTAATGCTTGTGCGTTCGCTCAGTACGCTCGGTCTCGGCAGCCTCGCAGTGCGCTTGTCATTCAGCAAATGATTGGAAGAATGGACAGTTCATGGGTAGCTGTAGGCGAGATTGTGCTGGCAATTGGCTCCGTTCCGCGTCCATAAGTTTTCGGCACCCGCCCATCCCGCCCTGAAATCAGTTTCGCGCCTATCGCAGTGACACCATCGTCCAGATAGCTTTTCGCATCATGACGCAGGCCTTTTGATCCTGCAAGGTAATGCCTGTGCGTTCGCTCAGTACGCTCGGTCTCGGCAGCCTTCGCAGTGCGCTTGTCATTCAGCAAATGATTGGAAGAATGGACAGCTCATGGATATTTCCTAGGTCGTCTTGGGGCTCTCTTGGGGCAGTCTGGGTGGCCTCTTCTGCCGCCGGGGGGGAGCCGGCTGTCTTGGGCCGTATGAGCGCTGAGAGTGAGCAAATGCCAGAATCTGTCATTGAGTTTGACCTCCTTTGCGGGCCTTCCTTTGTCAAATGCCAGAATCTGTTATTCAGTTTAACCTGAGATTGAGCAAACACCCAAAGACAATCATTGAGTTCGATCTCCTGGGGCCTTCTCGACGGACCTCTTGGATGCCTCTCGGGGGCCTCTTGGGCCGTCTTGGGCCATCTTGAGGCCATCTCATGCCGCCTTGGCTGCATCTTGGGCCGCCTTGGAGGCATCTTGCGGCTATGTTAGGCTCTCTTGGGGCCATCTTGACTGTCTTTAAGGCCATCTCTGGCGTATTGGGGGCTTCTTTGGCCGTCTATGAGCCCTCTTGGGTCGGCCGTCTTAAGAGGTCCGTCAGGAAGGCCTGAAGAGGCCCAGCTCGTTGATTTTCTGAGCTTTTCTGATGCATTTTGGCATTTACTCCTTGATGGCCTTCTGACTGCCCAAGACGGCCCAAGAGGCCCCCAATATCGCCCCACGATCACCCGGATGCCTCTTGGGCCGTCTCGGGGGCCTCTTGGGAGCCTCTTGGGCCGTCTTGGGCCATCTGGAGGCCAACTTAGGCCGTCTTGGGTGCATCTTGGGCCGTCTTGGAAACATTTTGCTGCCATCTGGGGCTCTCTTGGAGCGCCGAAGAGCCGTCTTGGAGGCCATCTTGGGCGTCTTGGAAGCCTGTTTGGGCGTCTTGGGGCCCTCTTGGGGCCTTACTGGGGGCTTCTTGGGCCGGCTTGGGGCCATCTTGGAGGCCTCTTGGGCGATCTTGGGGGCCGTCTTGGGCCGTCTAGGGCCGTCGGGCCCACAAGAAGCAAATTCCCAAATCCTTCAGAAACCTGCGGAACATCACTGATTCATTTCTTGTGCTCACGCCACACCGCCGACCCCTTGGGGAACTCGCGGTTGTGGCACGTTGCTCCTAAGGGCCTGATCAAAGACGCCTACGGCGACTCACCGCCGCCCCCTGCCTTTGTGGAAGCGCCTATGTGGCCGAACGTTGAGGCCAGACCTGCCAAGCTATCGGACCATGTGCTCCCCGAATCGGTTTGGAAAGCCTTCGGGGAACACGTGGGCATCTTGAAGGTCATCTTGGCCGCCTGGAGGCCATTTTGACATCTCGGGCCTTCTTGGAGGACGTCTTGGAGGGCTCGTGGGCCGTCTTGGAGGCCATCTTGAGCGTCTTGGAGGCCTCTTCGGCCGTCTTAGGGGCCTCTTGGGGCCGTCTTGGGCGCCTCTTGGGCCGTTCTGGGGCCATCTTGGAGGCCTCTTGGGCGATCCTTGGGCGATCTTTGGGGGCTCTTGGGCCGTATCGGGCCGTCGGAAGGCCGAAACGAAGCAAATGTCAAAATCTGTCAAAAACCTTTGGAAAATCACTCTTTTTGGTCTTTTCTGGCCTTCCTGGAGGCCCTCTTGGAGACCTCTTGGACCGTTTTGGGCCAGCTGCGAGCCACCTTCGGCCATCTTGGTGGGCTCCTGGCCTGTCTGACGCCCTCGGGAGCCGTTTGGGAGGCCTTTCTGGGCCGACTTGGGGCTCTCTTGGGGTGCTCCAGGGCCGTCTTAGAGGCCATCTTGGGCGTCTTCGAGGCCTCTTGGGCCGTCTTGGCGCCCTCTTGGGGCCGTCTTGGGCGCCTCTTGGGCCGTTCTGGGGCCATCTTGGAGGCCTCTTGGGCGATCTTGGGGCGACCTTGGGGGCTCTTGGGCCGTCTTGGGCCGTCGGAAAGCCGAAACGGCGCAAATACCAAAATTCTTCAAAAACCTACGGAAAATAAATGATTTTGGCCTCTACGGACCTTCCTGGAGGGACCTCTTGGAGGCCTCTTGGGCCGTCTTGGAGGCCTCTTGGGAGCCTCTTGGGCCGTTTTGGGCCATCTTGAGGCCATCTTAGGCCGTCTTGGGTGCATCTTGGGCCATCTTGGAGGCATCTTGGGGCCATCTTAGCCGTCTTCGAGGCCATCTTGGCCGTCTTGGAGGCCGTCTTGGGCCATCTTGGAGCCGTCTGGAACGGAAAAACCCTTTGCAGCCTCCTCTGGAAGATCTTTCGACATCCTCCCGGGACCCCGGCGGGACACGCCGGAGCCCACTGGCAGAGTTTTTTTTGGAAAAGAACCAAAACCAAAATCGTAAGAAGTTCAGCATGCCAGGCACCCTTGTGATGAATCAACAGGGGGCGGCGGATTATCGAGTGGCCTTCGGCACACCCCGCCACCGTGCCTGGGCTGCGCGTCTGAGGCCACGCGGATGGCGGATGGGGTCTCGTGGGAGACGTCCCGGGGACGTTTTTGGGAAGCAGTTTTTGTACTTCTCGGGGGCCTCCTGGGGGCCTCTCGGGAGCTTCTTTGGGACCTCGCGGAGATCCCTGGGAGACTGTCGGGGGCTTCTTGGGACAACGGGGCGGCGGCTTGGGGTGGAAGGCTTGAAATGTCCGTCCGGGTTCCCCCGCTGGGCCCCCTCTTGGCGCTGTCCTGGGGCCCCCCTTGGCAGTCTTGCGAGCCCTTTGAGCGGTCCCGGGGCCCTCTTCGGTCGTCCGAGGGCCTTCGGGGGCCTTTGCGGCCGTCTTGGGGCGATCCTGGAGGCTTCTGGAGTTGTCTTGGACGTTGTGATCGCAGGAGAGGCGAATGTGCTAAAAATGCCGGTTCTCCAATTGACACGGGAGGATTATTGTTACTCTGTGAGGCCGTTTTGGGACGCCTCTTGAGCGCTTCTTGGGGCGTCTTGGGGGCCTCTTGGCCCGTCTAGAGGCCAGCGTGCGCGGTTTGGATCGATCTTTCGGCGGCTCGTGGCTTTCTTGGACCGTCCGAAGGGCCTCTTGGTGCCCTCTTGGCCTGTCTTGGGGCCCATTGTTCCCCGTGGCCCCCTCGGGCGGTTCCTGGGGGACCCCCCCTTCTAAATCGACCGGACCGGGCTCCTGGGGGAGGGTTTTCGGGAGGGGGAAACATTTCACACGCCGATGAACCCCAATGGGTCGGCGAATTCTGGCCTCCGCGGGCCTTTGGAGGACCTCTTGGAGGCCTCTTGGGCTGTCTTGAGGGCCTCTTGAGGGCCTCTTGGGCCGCCTTGGGCTATCTCGGACCATCTGAGCGGTCTTGGAGGCATCTTGGGACCATCTTGGAGGCCATCTTGGGGTTATCTTGGCCTTTCTTGAGGCCATCTTGGCCCCATATTAGCCGTCTTGAGGCCATCTTGGGGCCATTGTGGATGGGAAGATTGATGGAGTGTATATTTTCCTAGGCTTTTCGGGTTGCCAGAGGGCTGGGCCTAAGCCCCACGGGGAGTTCTTGAGAAAAGAGCCAAGAACTTGCCAGACGTTCGGCACGCCGTGCACCCCTGTGGCAAGATCATAGGGGGCGGCGGCATATCGAAGACGCCTACGGCGAATCATCGCCGCCTCCTGCCTTTATGGAAGCACCTGCGTGGCCGAAAGTTGGGTTTGAGCTTGGCCAAACTATCGGGCCACGCATTCCACAAGTGGGTTTCGAAAGCCTTCGGGGAACACCGAGTCGGGCGAGCTATCGGACCAGGTGGTTTCCAAGCTTTCGGGCCTCCTGCAGGACGTCTTGGAGCGCTCTTGCCGCTCTTGGGCCGTCTTGGAGGCCTCTGGCGGGCCTTTCGGGCAGTCGAAGGCCATCTTCAAGCCATCTGGGGCCGTCTTGGGTGCATCTTGGGGCCATCTTGGCCGTCTTGGAGGCCTTCTTGGCCGTCTTGGAGGCATCTTGGAGGCCATCTTGGCCGTCTTGGAGGCCATCTGGGGCGTCTTGGGGGCTTCTTGGGCCGTCTTGGGGCCTTCTTGGAGCTTTCTTGGGGGCCTCTTGTGCTGTCATAAGGGGCCATCTTGGAGGCCTCTTGGGCGCTCTTGGGGCGATGT